TTATCTAGGAAATCCTTTATTTCGTTTTCATACCTAAAGAATATACTATTCTTGGCTAACAGTTTTTATCTTTTAGCATTTTAAATGTCATTTCACTCTCCTGGCCTGTAGGGTTTCTGTGGAGAAATCAGCTGATAGCCTGATGGTGTACCTTTGTAGGTTACCATCTTTTATTCCCTGGCTGCCTTTAAAATTTTTTTTCATTGACCTTTGACAGTTTTGATATATCTTGGAGAAGGTTTTTTTTGCACTGAGGTATTTAGGGTGTTCTTTTAGGTGTGCAGTTTATATAATATGTCTCATAGCTAAAATCATCCTTTGTGGACTTGTACATTCAGTTCCTACCTCAGGTGTGGAAAATTCTCATCTATTATTTCTCTAAATAAGCTCTCTGCTCCCTTCTCCCTCTCTTCTCCATCCAGAATACCCATTATCCTAGGTTGCCCTTTCTAATGAAGTTGGGTAGTTCTCGTAGAGTTCTTCATTTTTGAAAAAAAATCTTCTCTTCACTCACCTGCCTGAATTATTTGTAGATTTCTATCTGCGAGCTCACAATTCTCTCTTCTGTATGATCTGCTCTTTAGCTCACAATTCTCTCTTCTGTATGATGTGTTATATTTCCAGTGCATTCTTGATCTCATTTATTGAGTTCTTCACCTCTAGAATTTCTGTTTAGGTCTTTGTTAATTTACTTATTCTGCTTATTAATTTTATTCTTGAGCCTATTTAACTGCCTTTCTGAGTTTCCTTTGTAATGGCTATTTGGAGTTCTCTGTCAGTTAGATCATAGTCTTTTGTGACTTTAAGTGTGGTTTGGGAAGAATTATTTTCTTTTTTTGCTACCATGTAACCATGATTTTTGATGGTGTTTGAGTTATTCCTCTGGGCACATTTGAAGTAGCCAATACCTTTCTTATTTTGGTATAGCTTTGTTATTTACTTTGATTCTGAAATTTCAACAGGTTGGTAATTAGAGGCCTCTCTTTTGTTTTCCAGTAGAAGGTGCCATAGGGCACATTTTTGCTTTCTTTTACCTAAGATGCCTCTGGCTATATTTGAGAACCAGTGCTTTCCATCCACCAAAAGTGTCTCTGGTGCCCTTGTCCTTGCTGTTTGTGCCTCTGAGATCACTAGTGCCTTGCTGCTGCTGCTGGTGTCACTGGGGTCATACCCCACAGTCACCAGGATAGCGGGTGCCTCCACCACATCTGAGTCATCTGGGTCATGGGTACTGCTATGGCAGTGAGATGGGGGTTGGAGGGTAGAGAGAGCTCAGGTTGCCTGTGGAGCTATGACTAGCAGGCTGAAGTCGTGTACACTGTCTCTGTGGGGTGGCTAGAGTTGTGGTGGTGGGAACAGGGTTGTGGGTGGCACCTCTGCTCTTCTCCCAGTTTCTACTCGTCTGTGTGTTCTAGTCCACCCATTTTCAGCTGTACAGATGCATGGATCTCTCCAGTATCCTGGTATGTTGGGTGAGGAGTCTTTGTTGAGTCATGGCTGTTTTACTTGTTACAGATAGAAGGGGAGAGATAAGGGAACATCTCATGCCACCATGATGCTAAGGTCATTGCCATGCTTCTTTTTTTAAAAGAATTTTTTATTTTTAATTACAGTTGGTGTACAATATTGTATTAGTTTTAGGTGTAAAACCCTAAATGTGATTAGACATTTATAGAATTTACCAAATGAACACCCTCATAAATCTGGTACCCATCTGACACCATATATAGTTAATTACAATATTTTGACTGTGTTCCCTGTGCTGTACTTTACATCCCCATGACTATTCTGTAATTATCAATTTGTACTTCTTAATCGCTTAACCTTTTTCACCCATCCTCCCAAACCCCTCTAGTCTGGCAACCATCAAAATGTTCTCTGTATCTCTGAGTCTGTTTCTGTTGTGCTTGTTCATTTATTTTGTTGGGGGTTTGTTTTGTTTTGTTTTGTTTTCGATTCCACATATAGGAGAAATCATCTGGCATTTGACTTTCTCTGTCTTATTTCACTCAGCATAATACCTTCTAGGTCCATTCGTGTTGTTGGAAATGGCAAGATTTCATTATTTTTATGGCTTACTCATAATCCATTGTATATATGCACCACTTCTGTATTCATCTATTGATGGACACCTAGATTGCTTCCATATCTTGGCCATTTTAAATAATGCTGCAGTGAACATATGGATGTATATGCCTTTTTGAATTAGTGTTTTGAGTTTCTTCAGATAAATACCCAGAAGTATAATTGCCGGATCCCTCTTTGTCTCTTGGTATAGCCTTTGTTTTAAAGTCTATTTTGTCTGTTATAAATATTGCTACCCCAGCTTTTTTGTTTGTTTGTTTCTGTTTTCATGAAATGTCTTTTGCATCCCTTTACTTTCAGTCTGTGTCTTTCTATCTGAAGTGAGTCTGTCATAGACAACATATGTAAGGGTCTTGTTTTGTTATCCATTTAACTGCCATGTCTTTTGATTGAAGCCTTTAATCCATTTGCATTTAAAATAATTATTGATAGATATCTATGTATTGCCATTTTATTCATATTTTCTGTCTTTTTAAAAAATTTTTATTAAAGAAGACCCTTTAACTTTTTTGGTAATACTAGTTAGGTGGTGATGAACTCTTTTAGCTTTTTTGGGGAGGAAGCTCTTTATCTGCCCTTCATTTCTAAACGGAGCTTTGCTGGGTAGAGAAATCTTTGTTGTAGGTCCTTGCTTTTCATCACTTTTAATATTTTGTGCCAAGCCTTTCTGGCCTCCAAAGTTTCTGTTGAGAAATCAGCTGACAGTCTTATGGGAGCTCCCTTGTAGGTAACTAACCGCTTTTCTTTTGCTGCTTTTAAGATTTTCTTTGTCTTTAACCTTTGGCATTTTAATTATGCTGTGTCTTGGTGTTTACTTCTTGGAGTTCATCTTGTTTGGGACTCTGTGCTTCCTGAACTTATATATCTATTTCCTTTACCAGGTTAGGGAAGTTTTTCATCATTATTTTTGCAAACAGGTTTTCAATTTCTTGCTCTTTTTCTTCTCCTTCCGACATCCTCATGATGTGAATGTTGGTACACTTGAAGTTGTACCAGAAGCTCCTTACACTATCCTCCTGTTTTTTATTCTTTTCTTTTTGCTCTTCTGGGTAGGTGTTTTCTGCTTTCTTGCCTTTCAAATCACTGATTTGATCCTCTACTATGATTCCCTGTAATGTATTCTTCATTTCTGACTGGTTCTCTTTTATGTTTTCTATCTCCATTTTTATGTTTCCTATCTCTTTATTGAAGTTCTCACTAAATTTTTCTACTCTTTACCTAAGTTCATTAAGTATCCTTATACCAGCATTTTGAACTCTGCTTCTGGTAGATTGCTTGTTTCTATTTTGTTTAGTTCTTTTTCTGAAGTTTTGTTCTGTTCTTTCATTTGAGACATGTTTCTTTGTGTCCTCTTTTTGGCTGCCTCCTTGTGTTTGTTTCTATGTATTAGGTAGAGCTACTGTGTCTTTCAGTCTTGGTAGAGTGGCCTTATGTAGCAGGTGTCTGTAGGGCCCAGTGGCTCAGCCTCCATGGTAACCCAAGCTGGGCACTCCAGGTGGCGCTTCGTGTGTGGGCTGTGTGCACCCTCATGGTCAGCTGTGAGGGCTGGCTGTGACCACTGGAGGATCTGCTATGCAGGGGCCGACTCCTTGGAGTTGTAATCACTTCAGTGGAGCTTAGGTAACTGCTCTGTCCACCCCTAGAGTGTGTTGCTCATGGAGGTGGTTTGGTGGTGCTTTGATGTGGTCTGAAGCTGTCCACCTTGTGTGCTGTCTCTTGGGCCTCCCAGGAGATGCAGGCCAAGGTCAACTGCTGCTTGTGCTTTACCCGGGACCACTTGGCATGACCTACAAAGCAGTCTGCAGATGGTTGCTACTTGCATTGGCCTTAGAGGTGCCCAGGATACGCCAAGCTGCAAACCAGGTTAGGCTGATTTTAGTGCCTGGCCTGATGGTGTTTGAGAGATTTTAGGAAAGTCTGCAGCATGAGCTAAGATAGGCCCTTTGTAAAAAAAAAAAAAAAAAAAAAAGCCACTGGAAAGGGCTTGGGTGGGTCTTCAAGTTCGGTTGGGCAGGGTTGCAAGGAATCACCAGGTTGATAGAGACTCAGATATGGAGGCCACTCATGGGGGAGGACAGCAAAGGAGTGATGGCTTCTGCTAGCACTACTCTCTGGAATAAAGCTGCCCTTCTAACCCCCGCTTTAATGCCAGAGGATTCAGTTCCTCCCCATTTATCCCTGGTACCCTTTGAGCTTCTGCAGCCCTCTGTCTCACTCGGCTACAATCCCTGCTGGTTTTCAAAGCCAAAAATGATGGCACTAGGAGCCCTTGCTCCACAGCCAAGATATTCCTCTCTTTCACTGCTGCATATGGCTGTGGGACCAGCCCATTTAGTGTCTTCACCCCTCCTACCAGTCTGACATGGCTTCTTTATGTCCTTAGCTATAGGACATCTGTTCAGCTAGATTTCAGGTGTTCTCAGTGATGGTTGTTCCATAATTTAGTTGTAATTCTTACGTGGTTGTGGGAGGTTTCGAGTACTGAGTTTACCTACACTGCCACCTTGACTGGAAGCCCATGCTTATTTCTTTAAAACAAATTTCTACAAGTGAAATTATGGAACTAAGAGAAATACATGCTTTTAATGCCGTAGTATGCCCCAGGAATGCTGTACCAATTTATATTCCATCAGGACAGGTGTTTTTTCCTTTTTCTATATGAGTATACTTTCAGTATGACTTTTTCCTTTGTTTTTTATTCCTTCTTCCCAAGTGACTCCCACTCTCTACACACATTCTTGTACATTAAGTAATGAAGTCAGATCTTAGTGGAACACAGATGGGGCCACAGTGGAGTCATATCTTATACAGTCAGGGCTGGAAAACTGCTTCGCTTCTCACTGCATATTTGGTTCCTTCCCTTTGTATGGCCAAATGTGGGTTTGTGATAAGATCATTGGGCTTCTTTGTTTCAGGTTACACTCCTGGCACACCTTACAAAGTGTCCTGTTCCCCTACCAGCGGGGTGGTGCCACCGTACTCCTCCTCCCCCAACCCCTACCAGACTGCTGTATACCCTGTGCGAAGTGCCTACCCCCAGCAGAGCCCATACGCACAGGTAGGCCTGGGGTGCACTGTGAGGCTCTTGATAGTGCTCTTGGGCACTGTACATGTAGATCCCATCTGGGCTCTTAACCCCCTGTGTGTAGGACCCTGTTGCAGTTGTCTCTCTTCCTCCCCACAGCAAGGCACATTCTACACACAGCCCCTGTATGCAGCACCCCCTCACGTCATCCACCACACCACGGTGGTGCAGCCCAACGGCATGCCGGCGACAGTGTACCCTGCTCCCATCCCTCCACCAAGAGGCAACGGGGTCACCATGGGCATGGTGGCTGGGACCACTATGGCCATGTCAGCAGGTGAGTCAACTCTGGGTTGCCTATTCTATGGTGGCATGACAGCTGGGAAGGGAGAGCTAACTAATACTCTGACCCTTGGCCTTGATTTCCCATTCTAGATTTGTGTGGAAGAACATACTCTTTTGGGAAGGAACAGCATATTACTTTTTTCTTTTCTTCCCCTTCTCATTTCATTCCTGGTAGAGTATGCTGGATGGCACTCTCTGAATTTGAGAGCGCCACCTTGTTGGTGAGCTGAGCCATTTGGCAGTAGGAACTAGGAATGACCAGCTCTCCCTTATGAGCATGTAAAGCTTAAGCAGAAGGGCAATTTTATATTCTGGGGTACTGGACCTCTTGTACTTCCTTTTAGTATGGGCTCCTTTGCAGGCCAAGTTGTCTGTCTAGGAAAGCTAGACTTATGTTAACAGAGATCGCATCTATTTGTAGAAATCCTTTGGCATTCATTGACTTTATTTCCCAGGGAAAGTAAACCACTGAGATGAGAACCTTGGCTAGAACTGGCATATCTACCTGGAGTCCTGGCACCTCTGTAGCAGGGGGCCAGGTATACACTATGCACTTGGTTGTCCATGGCTGGGATTTTTTTTTAAAGTACTGTTCCCTCTGTCTTCTAGATTTTACTTCAGTGTAAGAATATTGTGCCAGAGAGAAAGGTGTTTCTTCTTAAGTCTCTATTTTAGTTGGTTTTCCCATACTTATCTTTGAAGGCAGAGGAGATTGTGGCACGGATAGAACTGCATGTTTGAGGCAGATAGAGGGAGGTGAAGATAAATCTGTGATGGGTGTGGGCAGGGAGACAGGAGAGTGAAGAAGTGCAAGATGAAGGTGTTATGTTTGAGGTAGTGCTTGTCTGTAAATGGACTCAAATAATTGCTGACTTTTCTTCAGGTTAGGGAAAAATACCTTTCTCTTAATGTACTCAGAAGTTTATATAGTTTGTAACCTCCCTCAATCCCTCTCTTCCATTTATTTGTTATCATATTATCCATTTTTCAGCATACAGTTCAATAGTGTTAAGTATATTCACACTGTTGTGAAACATTTCCAGAACTATTTTATCTTGCAAAACTGAAGCACTAAACAATTTCTCTTTCCCCCTGAACCCCAACCCCTGACACCGCCATTCTTTCTGTCTATCAATTTGACTACTCTAGGGACTTCAAATAAGTGGAATCATACAGTATTTGTGTTTTTGTGACTGTTTTGTTCCCACCTAGCATAATGTTCTCAAGGTTCATATGAGTTGTAGCATGTGACAAATTTCTTTCTTTTTTAAGGCTGAATAATAATATTTTTATTTTGTCTTTTATCATCTAATCCACAAAAATAATTGAGTATGCTTATATGAAGGGAAGGCATAAAGGTTCCCACAAATGTATTACCAATACGAGCTTTCTTTGTTTATACATCTTTGAGTTCTTATATAATCAGAGTTCTGACAGCACTCAAGGTCAAGGCCTTTCCCCTCTTTCTGACCTCCCTCCTTGTCAGAGACAGTGTAAAGCTGTGCAGTGATGATATAAGGCCAGCATTGAGTGTGGGCTATGCTACCTACCACTGAGACGTGCTGCTCTTTCTTACAGGTACTCTGCTGACTGCCCACTCCCCAACTCCTGTCACCCCTCACCCAGTCACTGTGCCCACGTATCGGGGTCCAGGAACGCCCACCTACAGCTATGTGCCCCCTCAGTGGTGATCGATCACCTGCAAATGTAAGTGACCAGTGAAGCCTGGGTTGGCTCTTGACTAAAGTGCATTTTTTCCAGTGGAGAATGACAAATCTACCATAATTTAAGCACTAATAAGAAAAATGCTACCTGACTGTTCACCCAAGGGGAATGCAGTGTTCAAATTTTTGTTCATATTTGGTCTCTACAGAGTAGAAGAAAGACGGAAACCATTGAGTACTTGCTATGTACACTATACACTTTGTTCCTTGTACCCGCCTCCTGCAAGATAAGTAGCATTCCAGTTATACTTGGAAGTCTCTGTGAGGTTGGCGGGAACCAGGAACAGTGGCATTTCCTTCTGCTGCCCTTTTTGGTTCTTGTGAATTTCATCCTCCTCTAATTAAAATGCCTTCTTTTCAAAGCAGCAATGCCAGAGGAGCTCTGTGATTTTGTATCTGTCTTTCTCCCCCCACCCAGGTTTGAGGATGGAGCTGTGCAGTCACATCATGGATGTTCCACAGCTGGTGCTGCAGGCCTCGTGCCTCCAACCAGGACTTTCTTCTTAATGCTCTCGACACTTAGCTAAACACTACTATGGCCTGGCCTTGCAGATCTCAGTGCCATTAGTCTCCAACTAACTGTGGGTTGGTCATAATCCTGTTTTGGGGCTGCCTGGCAATTTTTTTAGCTAACTGTAATGATAAAAAGGGAGTATTAAATGTATTCTGAAATCATATCTAGTTGCATGCATGTTTAAAAAAACAAACACAAAAACAAAGCTTGCTCAAACTACCTGCAGTGACTGATGCAAAACCATCATATGCAAAATCCAAAGGAACGGAAAAATATTTTACAACTTGTATCACTAATGCAGTGTTGTAATATATGCAGAGTCTTAAAGATGTGTTAAAGTGGATTTCTTCATAGAACATCTGAAATCTCTTAAGCGATTCTTCAACCTTTGGGGTTGATGTGGGTTGCCAGTTGGAAACACAAAATTTGAGTTTTTAGCCATCTGTTTCTTTCACACTGATTGCACTGGAAGAGAGTTGCAGGGACGGGGAGTGTGGGGTGGGCCACAGCTACATGGGATAGCCAGGTTAATGGGCATCCCTGTCTTTTCATTTAAGCTTGTGGGATCAGTGTGATGTGGACATTCTTAAAAGATCATGAAAGATTAGAGTTGTATGGCCAGTACATTTAGGGGTAAGAGGCAGTTTGTCTGTCAGCAAAGCAGTTTTCTCTAGATTGCTATATAAATTTTCATTATAAACCTATTACAGACAGAGATGCTGTTTTTTGTATCTTTATTAGAAAAGCCCTATGTAGAATTAAATTACTTTCCTGGGGTGGAAGATATGTGAAATAAACAGACAGACTTGGAGAAGGTATTGTTCTCTTCTTGATTTAACTTAGAAAATCATTTCTGTTTTTCCTTTCCTGAGAAATGTTTGAGTTAGCTGAAAACATATGTAGGCATTGCTATTCTTTCCCCCACAAAGAAGGGTAAAGATATCTCAGCTGTCCTGAAGAAAGTTGTATATTTAAGAACTATTAAAAAGGGAACAAAACTTTATTTCAAATTGATTACTTGTTGAGAGGTGTAGGGCCATGGCTATGTTTGGGTCTGTCCACTTGATGGGGACTTAATCCTCTGAGACCATGTAGAGCTGGTTTTGGGAGGTGAGGGAAGAAGACCTGATGTCTGTTGTTTGTGAGCCTCTTTTGCCATCTCTACTGGCAGCTGAGGGCACTCATCACATAGCAGGTATGGACAGCAAAGGGTCAGGCAGCATCAGAATGCATTTGCCTGCCGGGGTTTATTATAGAAAGGATTTTTGTGTTTAAAATATGAATATTGTACATAAGAAATCAAGGATTTTTTTTTATTTTTTTTTTGCCTAAATGGGCTCAACTTGTATTGATAGGAGTGAGCCTGTTCTCAGATAAAGTCAGAGTGAGTCTCAGCAGTTTATCAGACAGGTTGGGGGAAGGGTGTTCCCCTGTTCCACCCCATCATTGTTTCAGGTGCTGTGTACTTTGGTTAGGGAGGGGACCCTACTCTTCTTATGTCTCTGGCAACTAGGTCAGGGCTCTAGCTCTGATTAGGCATTCAGTCAGATTGGTGAGTGGGACTCTGAGCCTTTGGTAACCTTATTTTTTATAGTAAGTATTCTTCGTAATGTTTTTTCGCATATTATTTTATAAGAAGTTTAAGAATATTTTTGCATGGGTCATTATAAAGGAAAGATTTCTTATTCCTAATGTCTGTTAACATAGTGTGTTTACTGATAAGTACTTTAAATTGCTTCATGAGCACTTAACCTGTATGTGTGTGTGTGTGTACACTTATTAAACTTTTGTGTTGTAATTCCATCTGTATAGTGGATGGTTTATAATCAGTAGATTCCAGGAACTGAACTGACCAAGTAACAGAGAACTCAGTTTCCCTAATTTAGTGTAGTAGGTAGGAGAAAATGTGATTTTAGTGTATGCTTTTAAAACATCCCAAACAACAAAATGGGAAAACATACACATACACATACACATACACATACACACACACACATATGGCTACCTGTAAGGGGTGGAGTCATTTGAAATCAAGAGGAAGCTATTTGAAGTTATATAGGATGTTTCTTTAGGCTTGCTTGAGACTTGGCACATACAGGGTGAGTGTTTTCACAAGCACTAAATTAAATGGTGTTTTCAAGAGAAAGCAGAATGAGTTGCATTTTCCGCCATTTATATTAGCTTCATAAACACTTTCCCCCTATAATTTTCTTTTTAAATCTTTTCCCTTTTGTCAGGTTGAACTGAGAGACATTACCAAATACTTTTGCATTACGGAATACATCTTTTCAATTTGAAACTATCAGGGCATCAGCTATCAAATATGATGGTGAAATGTAGATCTTGTCTGGTGTGTATGAATCTGGACTTATGAACAGTAAAAGTATGATAGATTATAATTTTAGCAGTGTTTTTAATTCTTCCTAGTACAATTAACTGAGGAATAGAAGTCCTGTTATAAACTTGCATAATTTGATATCCAACGCACAATAATGTAACATTTAAAGAAATTTGGCTTCCTAATTTGTGAGTCTTTTAGCTGAATTGCAGTTCTTTTATAAGTTGAGACAGGCAACTTCATGGACATCAGGGACATGGACATCATCATGGGTATTTAATTTGTTTTGTTTTACAGCCTCTTCCCTAAAGTTTAGGAGGTCTGTTTCCCTGCTTATGGAACTCTTGTTTGGCCCTGGGCCGGATGACTTAGTGTTTAGCAATGAACAAGCCATGGTCCCATTAACTCACTGCCTCTGAGAAGGGAGGACAACATTAGGGCTAGGGCCATTTGTGGTAAACAGGCACAGAGGTGCTTCCAGAACCTTTTATGTTTCTTGTGTTAAATCTTTTCAGAGCATTCTCGTTGGTGTGGTTATTAGGCCTACCCCTTGCTATTCTGTGAATGTTTCTTGTGTGCAGTGCAAATGTAGTATTTATAGGAGATAGAGGAAGGTTGTGAGGCTTAGGCTGGGCACCTACCTGATCATTAAGCATTCTGCCCTTCCCAGTTTGGAAAGACAATGCCTGACTCTCTCTGGTAGCATCATAACTTCAAATAATGAGAGGAAATATATTCTTAAGGCACTTTGGATATGCTAATATCTGGCAGTTGTCCCCTTATATGGGTTTCTGTGAATGTGCCTGCCAGTGGTGGTGGAAGGATGGTAAACACAGGCCACATCAATAGTGGAGCCTGTTTTAAAATGAAAACCCAGACTTTTCCTGTCCTTTGGAAACAGTATTACTCTGACCAATTAGGCGACCTTCTCCTCATCTGGCCGCTAACAGCAGATGGATGACCCAGTCATTCCCATCCTGAGCATTGCCGAGAAAGGACAGAACATCTGATATCCTCCATTGGGTGCAAAGGCAGTTTAAGGGTGCATGGTTTGAGGTTGGATGCAATTTCTGGTCCTTCTCTGGTGCTTTCTATGGTATAGGGATGTCTGTAAAGAGGAGTGTGGTTGGCTTAGGGAAAGGGCAGACTGTTCAGCTCTCCTCCCTGGCACATCTCAAGTGTGTATATGTGTGTGTCATTCCACGTGTCCCCCTGTGTCCTTGTCCCTGAGTTTCCTGAAGGTACAGCAGACTTGAGTAGACTGCAGATGACACGCTTCAGAGGAGGGTCTGATCTTTTCAGGTAGAAAGTTGCAAAGTTGATCTTTACATGTTTCAGAGGATTTGTCTCTTTATCCACCCTATTCACTTGAACAGAAAACCTGTGGAATCACTTTATAAGAGTCCCCAGGACTAAAGTCAACTCACTTGGGACAGGGACAGAGGAGATGCAGACATCTCTGTCCAGGGAATCTGAATGAGCTATGGGAGATGATATTCTCTCGGATTTGTACATTGGAGATGACAGGCTGCTCATCTCAGCCTCCTGAGCCCTGTTGGAGTCTCCCCAGGTCCTTGTGCAGATGACTGATTAGTGAGGTGGATCTGAGGCCAGCACTCTTGCACGCCATGCAGGATTGTTCTGACAGCCACTTGAAGGAGAGGCACCAAGGAGTCACATAGGTTGTAACTGACTAGGAAATGGTTCCTTTTAAAAAAATTTTTTAATGATTTCTAAATACTGTTTTTTAGACTGTTCTCTTGGTATATTTTTAAGCTTAAGGTCAGCATTGTCTTCCAGTGTTAAAGGTATCCTTCACCTCTGCATTGAACTTAGGTGTCAATCAATACAAAGGAATGGAATATCCATCCTGAGCCAGTTCTGTTATGTGTAAATTCATACTGTTTTAATTTTTTATGCAATTTGATAAGTAGATGAGTTCAGATTTAAAATTATTAAAAGCACGTGTATTGTAACAAGAGTTATGTATTAACACTGCAGTTTTCAATAAAGATGAACTTGTGTTGCATATTAAGGTTTTCATGATTTTTTCCCTGTAGATTTTGTCTCAAGGTGGTTCGCCTGGCTGGGAGGTGGTGTAGTTTCTAGGGGTTCTGGACAAAAATCCTTGTGGTGCTCAGCTTCCTCCCAACTCAAGCCATGTACTCTTGACCTTGGCAATGTATGTGGAGGCAGCAGGTGGTGGGGACTGTTTCCCCAGGTGGGAAGGGTAGGGAAGCCATCCTCATTCCTCTTCTCCTGGTCCTGTAGCCTACGTCCTCCTGGGAGACACATTCTTTCCCTTGTCACTAAGGAAGATGCTGAGACCCAGAAAGATTATGGACTGCCTGTCCCCCAAACACACTTGCTAACTTCAACTAAATACAAACTCTGAGAGCAGTCCAGGCTCTAAGGGGAGGGAGAGGCTGAACCAGCTATACCCTATACCTGGACAGCTCCCAGCTATTTTACCAGATGCCCTGAGCTTCTCTGAAGCACTCAGCCTGGCCACCTTAGCCTCTCTCCACCAAATCCCTGAGGCATTGTCCCAACTAGGTGAGGCCCCACCCCCACCTCTGGGTGCTACTGGGCTCATTTCTTCCAGGTTAAGGAAAGTCCTGGGGTAGAGACAGATAACAAGCACAGAAGGATGGACATGCAAAGAAGAAAATGCATAGACACCAACAGAAAACAAGGGCTAGCAGCCAGATTATTTTTCCCAAGTTTCTTTATGAAATTAAATGTGGTTTTTGGCCTGGAGAAGGTACAGTAGTGGAAGTGACTGTGTGCTGCCAGAGGGGCTGCTCGGTACTTTGCACCCACAAGCCAGGCCCTGGCTGCACTCACTGGCACCCCTCCTTGGGGAGGGATGTGGGCTTCCCTCCAACCCACATGTACACTGTCCTCTGGGTAGGCAGGTCAGTCCTGGATGCTGGGCCATAGAACTCAGTCCTTGTGGCCTCTCATCATGCTCACTTAGGGTAAGACAATCTTCCTGTGTCACTAACAATTCTTTTCCTTTATTTTTAGAAAAACAAAATCCAAACAAAAAACTGGAACCAGGTTCTGGAGTCAACACATGGCTATATGTGGATATACCCTGATGGAAGTTTGCAGTTGATTATAAAAACATCAGCCAGGAGTGTCTAGAGAGGAACTGGGAGGCGAAATGGGTGGGCCCTGAGGTCAGGTATGGTCATATGCAGAATTCCTGATTCCTACCCTCCAGGGATGCCAGCTGCCTGGCATCACCAGCTGGAGGCCTGCAAGAGAATTGGAGGGCAGAGGGGCACACAGCCCAGCTTTCCAAGTGGTGGGAGGCAGACAGCCTCTTCCTGCCCAGAGAAAACAGGAGGAGGAGGAATGATTAGATGCCCAAAGAAGGTCTGAAGTGGTCAGTCCTTTCACACATGTCCACCTGGCTGGTATTTCTCAGCTGTGGCTCCAAGGAGACCCCACAAAACTCTGGAGGGTGGCGGGAGGTTCCTGTGCTATGGGGCTCCTGCCCCTCCAGCTGATATCTTCAGTGCATCAGTAGTGAGGAAGAACCAAGAACAGGTGCAGAGCCTGGTACATATTGGTGGCACCAAGCCACTTTCTTGCTCAGCCCTGCTCACTTCCAGTTTGCAGAATAGGCAGAGGAGGGCAAGATGCCATGGGTGAGCCTTGGGGAGGAAAACCTGGAGGCAGCAGGCATAGCAGGTCCAGACAGTGCTGTTGGATAGGGCATAGGCTCACTTGCGGAAGGAGGCCAATGCTGTGCCAGAAGGTGGAGGGCTTCCACTTGGGCTCTGCCAGCACCAAGATCTGTTGCTGGGGCAGGCTGGTTGGCAGTGCCAGGTGCTTCTGGCGCATCAGGTAGTAGGGCTGGCCAAGGGCTGGGTAAGAAGGCAGAAGGAGTTATATAGGTGCCTAGGGAGTCAGTGGTACAGGGCAGAGTGGCATCTTCTGCTGTGGGGTGATGGAATGGGGCCTGTCTCAAGGCTCTGCCTCAGACCCCCATGGTAGGGAACTTGCTTCCTGTGGAGCTGATTACACCCAGGGACCTGGGCCGCCCTCCTATAATCTGCAGAGATGATGGCTAGGGGGCCTGGGAAGGTGTGAGGCCCTGGAGCTTCTCCATGGAACAGACCCTATGCAAGGCAGTGACAGTGCCTCTGTAGGATGGGGATATGAGCTTCTTGCCAGGTAGTTGTGAGGATGACTGCCCACAGAGCAGGCCTTGCTGAGGAAGTGAGCACTGTCACTAGTGGTATTGCTTGGGGGGGGAGGGGGTTGAGGGGATGTAGAAAAAGAATATCAACTGCATACTGACATGTTTCATCAGTGGTGACCCCTTATCACAACCTTTGGGAATATGCATCTGCAAAGGGCAGTGGTAACTGAGGACCCAGGTCCTCTTTACTTTGGGGGTCAGAGAAGGGTTTGATCATGACTAGGACTAGGCTGCTAAGGGTGGAGGTGGGACTACCACCTGCTTGCCTTTGGGCTTCCCAGCTACCTTGCTGGCATTCAGCATGGCCTGCTTCCTCTGTAGCTCGGTGATGGAGAAGCCCGGGAGGGAGGGGCACAAATGAGACACCTGCTTCCCTGCTAGGACTTGGCTGCTCTTCTATCTCCCCCTCACCCCCTGCCCACAGTCCTCTTGTCCTATGCTTCCTGACCGTGGTGCAGCCCTCTGTGTACCCTGCTCGTCCCACAGAGCTCAGGGCTCATCATGCTGCAGGGACTCAGTGTCCTGCTCAGCCATCTGGCCTTGGCTCCTGGCAGACCCAGGGTACCCCTCCTGGTGCCCCTCTCAGGGCCTTCCCCATATCCTCCCCTTGCCCTTCCCCATCTTTCACCAGAGGCTTTTCACAGGCCAAGAGCCAATCTGGCCCCTGCTGAGTGTGAGGGGCCAACCTCACCTGCCCTCTCTCCCTGGTGAAGGCGCTGAGCCAACGCTGGCTCTGCTCAGGCTTCCTGGCACACAGAAGGTAGCTCTCTCCCATGGTTCCACAGTGCAGCCAGAAGGCATTCTTGATGCTCATGTGGAGGTCTCTGTCCTTCCAGTCCTCTAGATCCACCACCTCCAAGCTATCCATCTCCCCTCGGCCCTTATAGTATGGCACATCCTGGTGTAGAAGGTCCTGCCAGAGATGCCATGAGCCCCTGGCCCAGCCTGTTTGTTCAACTCCTCTCCATCCTTTGAACTGCTCTCCTGACTGTCCCCAAGGCCCGGCCTCATACTCTGCCCTGTAATTGGAAGGGCTAGTGGGCCACACCTACCTCCGCAGCAGAGGATGAGCTCATGAGGGCAGAGCGAGCCTAATGCAGCCCCCAACTATGTGCCAAATCTATGATGAGGAGCTTCACACCTCCAGTTAAGTTCCTGGCTAGCCTGAGGGTCTTTTAGGGCACCTGTAGTTTTGTGGGCAGGCAGCCATGAATACAGACAGTGAGCCATGGCTTATACCACAGCAGAAGAGCACCAGGTATACATGGGCCATGTTTTGAAAGAGGAGTAGAAGTTAGTAGCACAGAGGAAGTAGGGAAGTTACTGGAGCAGAGGACCCCAGGGTGGGGGAGGTGAAGGTGAGTTTTGTTCAGAGAGAAGGAGGGTATTCTCAATAGCACTGCACCCTGGTTAGGCTGTGAGGGCCACCCCATGGCCCCTGGGCTACTAGGCTCACTCTGCAGAGAGCCACCTTCATCCTGGCCCAAAGGGCAAGACCAGGGAAGGGCCTGCTGTACTCAGGGCTCCTGGAAAAAAAGGAACCACCTGTGTGTGGCACCTTTTCTCTGGGCAGCTGTTTCCAGCCCTCAGCTTCACTTTCTCCATTCCTGCTCTAAATAGGCTCGTCCAGGAGGAAAGAGAGACTTTACAGTACCTTCTTACAGTAGATGAATTAGTGGTCAGAGAAAAAATATCCTCTGCTGGCTCTTGGCTTGTGGCTGTTTAACTTGAATCAGCTCCTCCAAGTAGATGAGTGCAGAGCTCCTGATCAGGAGATCTTCCTCCTGAGAGACAGCAAAGAGAGCAGTGAGCTTCAGACAACATCATAGCAGGACCCAATAAGCTTCACAAGCAACATATCCACAGAGGGATCTTGGCAGGCACCAGACACTGCAGACGCAAATTCCACTTCATGTGGTCAGCACCTGTAGAGCAGGTAACACGCTGTGGTGGAACTTGAGCCTCATAACCCATCTGAGGGTCAGTGCCATGTATGAACAAATCAATAGCACTCAATTACAGAGGAAAGGGAAGATGGTGGCACTCTGACAATAAGCAGAGCGCCCTTGCTCTTAGCCAAGAGCTTGATTTACCGCTAAAATATGGCATAACCAGCTTGGAAAAACACAAGAAATATACCTGAGTGGACATATTTCAAGTAAGGGGCACTGAAGAAACATAGAGTCTGGTAAGAGAGGGGGACCATTGAAAGGGGGGCCATTGAAAGCCAGTGCTAGGCTGTGAAGGCTGGGGGTTAGAGGCTGCAAAGCTCCCTCCCCTTGGGAGTATGGACTGGCATCCAAAAGCTGGGATCTCAAACCCAGAGTGGAAGAGAAAGGAAGGAGAGCCTGGGCAGGGCAGGGAGAGGGAGCTAGGGCAAGTGTGCCTGTGAGGAGGGAACCATTCCTTCCCAGTAAAACAACACACATAATGGCAGCAGCCGGGACAGTCTTTCACCCCAGGTGCTGACTGCAGGAAAGGCTGTCCTACAGTATGTGGCTTCTGAATAGAAAGGGGCCAGAAGGCTACACTCAGCAGCCACCTACAGGGATCTTCTGCTTTCCCATAAGGCATTGTGTAGAACCGCAAATAGCATTTTAACTGTGGCATGAGGAAGGGGAAGAGAGCCCTCCTGCCACTGGAGAGAGGACCGGAGCCACCAGTGGGGCAGATCAGGTCTCCAGCCGCGTAAGCTACTAGTGAGGAGAATCTGAGATTTTTAACCTGCTCTGAGGGGAGCCAGGATAGTGCCCAAAGAACTTCCCCAGCTTTACTGAGATCAGCTGTGCAGGGAACCTATGTAGGGCTGATTTTGTGACCCCCTCCTTGGTTCCGAGGCACCGGGGCAATGGGACCTTGCAGGGCCGGTTCTCTGCCTGTTTGTTGCTTTGTGCATTTTTGAATTTTTGATTGCTGAAGGGTTGTCCACCTTCCTGGCTTGCATTGGGGAGACAGACCAGTGAAAGCTAGGATTTGTGTCTGCATTGCGGAGAGTTTGAACTGAGCACCCTGTGAGATCAGCCAAGCAGATCTGGGAAAGGAGGGGCAGAGGATACCTAACTCTCCCTCAGATTAAGAGCACCACCCCCAACAGGAAAGGGGCTGGCTCAACTCACGGAAGCCCCAGATATCCCCAGCAGGGCACAGTCCTGAGGGGGAAGGTAGACCAGCTCACAGAATGACAATACAAGAATAAGACTCTCAGGGACTATTGTTTGGGAATTGGGGGAAAACTTAAAACCCTTCCTGGGCGCTGGGCAGGCAGTGTGCTCACTGGAATCATTTTTTAATCAAACCCAGTGAGTGCAGGCCACTGAAACTGCCCATACAGAAAAGGCAACAAACTGAAGTCAATCTGAAATTGCAGCAGGCCGTTCTATGGGAAACTAGAATTGGCGGATAGGGTAGAGACTGAGGAGTTGGCTTTGAAGCAGAGATTGATTTCCCCATAGTGAGTTCCTGACAGTGAAGCCTCAAAGTAAGGCGAGCAATAACCTGAGCTACTCTAGCACGCCTGCACCCTACTCTTCAGAAGACTCTGGAGTAAGACCAGCCAACCACAAGGGGGCGGAAAAATAGACAAATGGAGGTGGTCCACAGAAAGCCTCAGACCAGCCAACTACCTAAGCAAACCTAGACAGCTCGTGACATTGGCTGAAACACAAGTACCACCCAGGAGACCCGAAATCAGCATATAAAACAGTGAGCCTCAGACAACATAAGCTGCCCAGATGAAACTCATCTGATGGGCTTTTTTTTTTTTTTTTAATAGAAAAAAGAGAGAAGAACAAAGTTCTCTTTAAAATTTTTAATTGTTTTTAATTTCTTTAAATGTTTTGTCTTGCTTTGCTTGTTTTGCTTTGTTTTGTTTTTTGTCCTATTATCAAGATTTTCTTGATATTCTCTGCATTATTGCTGGGATATTTTCATTATAACGTATAAATTTGTTGCTTTTCTCTATTGTTTCCCCCATATCTCTTACTGGTGTCCTTCCCTGCCCTTACATTATCTCTATCTCTCTTCTTATTCCATTGGCATAACTTTCTTTTTTTCTTCGCGTCTTTTTCTCCCCTTTTATTCTCTATCTTCCTGTCTTTTTGTTTCTTTGTGTTTTTCTATTTAATTTTTATTTTTTATTTTTCAACCATTCCTATTCCTACTCTCTACACTTAATTTTTGGCTAACCTTTCATTCCTTTCAAAATCTTTTCTCTGCCCTTTTTATCTCCCAGCAGCTTCTCTATCTTTTACTTTTTATCTTATTTTATTATTATTATTATTTTACTATTAACAATAATATCCTTCTCTCTCTCTGTCTCCTTTTTTTTTGCCTTAGCATTTGTGTTCTCCCTTCACTCTCCCAATTCTCCTTTCTCTTGGGTTGTTTTCATTGTGATTGTCAGGATATTCTGTAAGTTACTGTTAGTTTCCTGGAAGTTTGGTTCTATATTGTTTCGCCCTGTCAGCACCTATACAACAGTTCACATGACGTGATTGTGGCTGAGCCTCACAGTTAGCCAGCCTGAGAGGAGGGTTCTCCTAGTAATGGGTCAACAACAATCTAGACCCAATCACAACAGGAGAGCCCAAAGACCCACAAAAGGGATACACCGAGAATATATAGTTCAGAAGTATAAGGAAAACACACCACTGGATGTACACTACAAAATCCCACCCCACAAGACTGGGAGAGAGCAAATATATTTAATACACATATACAAACACTGAGTCAGTAAAGTGGGGTACAGAGAAACAACACCCAAACTAAAGAAAAGGAGAAGGCACCAGAAAAAGACCTTCATGAGATGGAGTTAAGCAAGTTATCAGAAATAGAGTTCAGAGTGATGGTTATAAAGATGCTCAAGGAAATTAATGAGAACCACAAGATACTTAATGGGAAGGTCCAGGAATTTAGTGAAAGCTTCATCAGCATGAAAAATATACAGATATGATAAATAAGAACCAGGCAGAAATGAAGAATACTATATCTGATATCAAGAATACACTGGAAGGAATTAAAAACCTGAATAAAGCAGAGGATAGAATAAGTGAATTAGAAGATGTGGTAGAAAAAAAAACAAAACTGCATCAGAGCAGAAAAAAACAATACTTTAAAACCATGAGGATAGTTTCAGGGAACTTTGGGACAACATGAAACAAAACAACATTTGCATCATAGGGGTACCACAGGGGTAGGAAAGTCAGCAAGGGATAGAGAACTTGGTGGAAGAAATAATGACAGAAAACTTGCCTTTCCTGGTGAGAGAGAAAGCCAAACAAGTTCAGAAAGCACAGAGGGTTCCAAACAAGAGGAACCCAAAGAGACCCACTCCAAGACACATCATAATTAAAATGGCAAATGTTAAGGACAAAGAGGCAATATTAAAGGCTGCAAGAGAGAGACATGTGGTGACCTACAAGCCAACCCCCAACAGATTTCTCAACAGAAACACTTCAGGCCAGAAGGGGGTGGCATGAAGTTCTCAAAGTAATGAAAACCAAGAATGTGCAACCAAGACTGTTTTATCCAGCAAGGCTATCATTTAAAATTGAAGGTGACATAAAGACCTTCCCAGACAAAAGGAGACAAAAGGAGTTCAGTACCACCAAACCAGCATTGCAAGAAATGTGAAAAAAGACTCTTTAAGATGAAGAAAGGGTATTGAAATAAAGGTACATCATCTTAAGGGGGAAAAATGACATTAAATAAGTATATATCAGTAATAACCTTAAATGTAAACAGATTAAATGCTCCATCAAAAGACATAGAGTAGCTGAATGGATAAGAAAATATTACCCACATATATGCTGTCTGCAAGACCCCCACCTGACAGCTAAAGATTCACAGGAGCTAAAAGTGAAGGGATGGAATAAAATATTCCATGCAAATGGAAAGAAAAAAAGAGCTGGAGTGGCAATACTTGTTTCTGACAAAACAGACTTCAAAATAAAGACCATAACAAGAGACAAAAATAGTCACTACATAATACCACAGGGATCAGTCCAACAGGAGGAAATAATCCTTATAAACATAGATGCACCCAATATAGGAGCACCTAAATATATAAAAAATATCTTCATGGACTTTGAGGGGGCAATCAACAACAACACAATCATAGTGGAGGACTTTAACACCCCTCTGTCATGGGACAGATCATCAAGACAAAAAAATCAACAGAGAAACACAGACCTTAAATGACACAGTACCTTTAAAGGACATAGAGACTAAAAAACCACTACAAAAAAAAATCAATGAAACCAAGAGTAACTTCTTTAAAAAGATAAATAAGATTGATGAACCTTCAGCCAGAATCACCAAGAAACAGAGAGGACCCAAATAAATAAAATCAGAAATGAAAGAG